CCATACATAAACACAAACACAGTTTGAACTAATGGAATGAATTTGGAGGTGATTATAATTACTAAATTAAATTTATCATTTATTTTTTTGATTCATTCTATAGTCTAACACTTTAAATAGTTATGAAATCAAAAAACTTTATTTATATAACAAAACAAACAATGGTCAATAAAATTTAAACCTTGACCTTTGCAGAAGCATTACATCCATCAATTTCTTTTTCTCACAACATGTGATCAATATACAATGTTTTTTTAAATCCAAATCATCTCACTTTCAAAGCTTTTTGTAAGATTACAAAAATATTTACTTATGTGTAAATAATTTATTTGTATTTAATAAATAAAATTTTCATGCATGTTGTTTAGAACCAAATTTTTAAGTTTAATAGATTACTATTAAAGGAATACTATTAATAGACTACTATTATAGGAAATAAACATATTTGTTATGTGATTTTAATTGATGTAATTTTCTCAATCAATTTATGGTTTATGTTATAATTGAATATCAGCTTTTTTTTATAAGGAAAGATAAAAGCTACATTTATAGAAATTTAATGTATTAATCCATCCAAAAACACTGTTATTTTCAGCTTAATTTAAGCCATCCTTAACAATAATGGAAAAGAATACTTTTAACAATTAAAATGTAAAAAGTTAAAACATTACAAATCAAAAAATTTGAATTTAATTGTTATGAATTGTTAATAAATATTGTTTATAAATCACATTCAAACAAATATCAATTTACAATTCACAAAAAATAAAAAGAAACATTCAAAATACATCAGTGAATTATTTCAAATTGTAATAAATCCTATTTATCTTTTATTATACTGTATATTGTCAATTTGTTACAATATTTCCACTATATTTATATAGAACTTTTGGCAATATTTTTGATTGCAGGACTTTGATATAATCTACAATAGACAACAAACTTTCACATTGCATAATTAAAAATAATTTTATCAATGAATACAAGTTTTTTTGAACATTAAAGTTCATTAAAAAAAAACCCAATTAAAAATAAATTGTCTTTAAGAGTTTATGATTATGCTTATGAATTACAATTTCTAAAAAAGAGAAAATAAAACTCAGAAAAAATGAATTTGCTCTAGGGAGAAATTAAACATCTGAAAAAAGGAATTCAGTCCTCCCTAGAGTAAATGTCAAATTTAAGTTAAACAAACACATTTATTGATCTCTTATTAGAACTGGATTTTATTATTACTCAGTTTTTTAATACTTATTTTTCTCTAGATACTGATTTCTTTAAGAAGTTTATACTCTGAAGTTATTGATGTTATTTGAATACTTGCATATTGTAAAAAAATTATTATAATTTGATGAAACTTCAATGAGAATGTTATTTATGTCTTCATATACACTTTAAAAAATCTAAATAATTATATATATATTTACAAGTTAAACTAACACAACTTCAGCTCTAAGGTACATAAAGAGTATTCAATAAACAGCATTTTTTTCTTCTTTTAATAAAGTTTATTGATAAACGCTAATCATATATAAATATCTATTCAGTCTGTTTCTATTTTAATACATCAGATTATGTCATAATGAGAATTCAGAAATCTCTAGCTGATTGTATCATCCTTTAGAAATAAACAGTGATTCTGTAGCTATAAAAATATCTTCAATAACCATTTCTAAAGAATTTCTGATTAATTAGCTTTTAAAGCAATACAGAAAACTAATTTCTTCATAAAAAAATTTCATACATTTATTTCAACATTGCAATACATTCTTTGAAACCAAATATGCAATATCAAAGACTATTATTTCATTTCAAAGACTTAAAATACCTGAATTAATTATAATAAATGTAATTTATAACAGACTGTTTTAATGTGTGTTAATTAAAAAACTATCATTAATTAATATTACAATACTCAGTGTTTATTACACAAAGATAATGATGCAATAGATGATATTCTTATATAATTGTGATAATCTGGCTTTTTACACTTATCAAAAAGTATTCAAATTTTAAAAATTTTCATCTGAATTGAAGATTATATGTAAAGTAAAAACTTTCACATAAATGTTTAGAATACAATCTATATATTAAAAATATTTTAACTTCTGTTAGCTTTTAAATATTATCATATTGTGAATAGGCCTTAATAGAAATTTTCTAATGATAAAATTTATTATGCATAATCTAAAATAATAATAGTAAAACTATTAAAGTCAATTTTGTTATGAATAAAGATAACAATTTCAATAACAAACAAAATAGCTTCGTTAATAGAGAAATGAAACTTATTTATCATTGCTGATTCATATATTTGATTAACTACAACTGGATTTGCTATTTTATTGACTCTGGTACAATTCAAAATAACTAAAAGAACTATTCTAATTTCATTATATTAAACCAACATTATAAAAATAATAAAATGGCAGATTTCATCGATTCATTATATTGGTACAAGCAATTTTGACTCGAGCAGATGCAATTAATCAGTCAAACCCATTTTGAGTTCATAAATTTGTAGTTTTGATTAATCTTGTATCAATACATCCATATCCTATTATCCAAAATCTATTGAATCCTAAAAACTATAATTATCAGGAATTTGGATATCTAGAAGTTTTTCATTATTTCTTACAGANGTGTTTTTTTATTCTTAAATGTCTCTCTATATTAAATTTAATTAAAATTTATATTTTATACTTAAAAAATTTTCCAGTTTTTTTATCCATTTAAAAAATTAAATATCCAATTTCTTACTTTAATTATTGAACAATTTAATTAATTTTTTTCCTTCCTTTTCTTCTTACAGATTTCCGATAATTAATTTTTAAAGTTTTAACTAATAGAAATATAATACTTTTCATAGAAAAAGTTGAAATTTTTTTATTTCTTTTATTATTTAAAGGTACAAGAATATTGAAAAAGTTTATCATCAAATAAAAAATAAATTATATTTGAGAAGTTTAAAAATAATAATAATAATAATAAAATTTATTTAATTTCGTTTATAAATTTATTATCATATTTGAAAATTTATTATCAATATCTATTTTCTGTGTATCTTTATGTAGAATTATTCACAACTTGACAGCTTTTTTTTCTCCCTTCTAAAATTGATGTTATATTAAAAAAATAAAGCTGTAAACTTCAAAATGAATCTCTAAGGGATTGATTGTAATATAATAAATGCATTTTTGTCTTTTTTTTTCTTGGGAGAGAAGAAAAAAAGACAAAAATTCTCATAATTTAACTGTTTCTAAGCACATCATCTTGAAAAATTAAGAATTGCTAGTGATATTGATACAAAATAAAGATATGTCTTATATAATTTTGTAATTTTCCTCTTAACAGATGATCAAAAGTATTAAAAATTACATACACTAAGGTAAATATCTGTTAATTTCATCAATGCTTTATCCTTTTTCCTCTCCTAAATTCTCATAAATTAACGTTTCTAATCGCTCTAAAAATCACTAAACTGTTACAAAATAAAAGATATTTCTCGGAGAATTTTTTTGTAATTTTCCTCTTAACAGATGGAAAATATTCGAAAGTATCAACAGTTATTGTTTCATCAATGTCTATAGTTCTTTAATTAATCTAAACTATACAGAATGTTTAAGGGATCAATTTAAGCTCGTAAATTTGTATAGAAAACTTGAAAATCCAATGGCGTTCCGTTTTAAACTCGTAAACCTGTAATTTAATATATACGAACTGCATAATTATTTAGTTTACATTTTCGGCCTTAATAATTGCATCCATTATTGATGAAATATATCCCGAAAACAATACTTAAAAGACCGGTGACAAAGGACTTGTATTTCAATAGAAATATGAGTGGTGCCTATCTAGCGACTCTGAAGTTTATAATTTCAAAACTTTGCTTTGTTAATATCCTTCTATAATGTTTCTATGAAGGTGAAGTCTGTCAAAAATGAATACTCGCTAATTAAGTATTACCTAGAACGGGGGAAGACTTGCATTTCAACACCAAGAACATTCTTTCAACCAGTCCTGGATCTGTTAATGGCATTATGAATTGTTTTCGAAAGGCAAACTTTTATGCAAAGAAATATGTCGAAAATTTATATTAAAAAAACTATTTTANGTAAATAATTCATTCCATTGATTTTAACTTAATGTACAGAATTTACAAATTATTCCATTTTAAAATCATTTGTCCTACATATTTTGAATACTTTCATTCATTTAAAATGATTTAAATCAAAACTATATTTACATGTTTTCAGTATTTTTCAAGTGAAAATATTTATCATCAATGTCACTAGATATATTCATTATTTTCACTTGTATTGGTAATACACAAATAATGTATGTACAACATACAATTTTGAAAGAGCATTTTAAGCAATGAAAATTCTTAAATGGTTTAACAATACATCATATTTTATTGATAGCTACATAAATAAATTCAAGAGAAGAAATGAAATTTTTATACATTATTTATATAGTCCATTTCAAATGTTTTAACTTTATGATTTGGCCCCTTCTATAGTAAATCAACCAAAATCTTTTAGTATATATCATGTTTTTTGTTTCTTGTAATTTTTAATATCCCAGGTTACTTTTTATATACAGAAGGCTAGATCATTTGAAGACTTCTTGTGTATAAATTTGAATTTTGTTCTATCTTTTGAAAAAGAAATCTCTCAGAAAAGGGGCTGCTAATTCATGAATCTATGAGAAATGGAAGTCTACTTGCAAAACTTTATCTAGTCTCAAATATTGACTTTAAAATTTCATAATTATAAAACTTCAAAAATTATTGATTTAAAAAAATTTGATACTGGATGAAAGTATTCCTCAATGTGTTAGAGATTTATATAAATTGTTTTTTAATTAAAGCTGAAATGTAGTTTTGTCTATATATATTAAATCATTTTGTAGAATGATCATTGAAGATTTGTAATTTAAAGGATTCCATGATGAAATGATGTCAGATAACTGGCAAATACATATTATGTTGTTAAACAATTTAAAAGTACAAAACTGTCCATTCATTGATGAATAAATATAAAGCTCACAAGCCCTGCATTCAACAATTTACTTATAATATATAACATATCCTTATTCACACTCAGAGTTGATATCTTCAGTAGGATTTTTCCCATAATATGTATGAACGTTCATTTCTTATTCTTCATTTGCAAATATACCCAGTCTAGTCCTTGATATAATCTGAAATATAAAAAATTATGTTCATTTGTAATCATATATACTTCTAAAACAAAAATTTTGGCCAATAAAAATTATTACAAAAAAATGTTAATTTTTTTAATAAGGAATTAGAAATAAATTTAATCTTATTTTTTTACAAAAAGTCATTTTAATGAATAAAAAATGGATTATATATAAAATAATTTTTTCTTAAATTTATCAATTAGCCCGTAATCCCTTTTTCTATATAATACAATGAACTTTCTATAAATATGTAGTACATAAAGTTTATTAAACTGTTATCATACAGGGGCTGAAATGCATTTTAGCAAGCATATAAGGCAATAATTTCAATTGTATGATAACCCTTCAATAAAATTACATACTACATATTTGTAGAAAGTATATTGTTATTTTACTTAAATATTTTAAAATAACTTTATGACAGTTTAAAAATTTTATAAGTGTTTTATTCATCAACAAGAATATTTTCAAAATTAAGTGATTTCATGAATGTTCTCTTTTAAAAATAAAACGATTGATAAGAAAGGAGAGAGTAATATCCATATTGAAAACCATTAAAATTTTTTAAAAAATTAAACATTTTTATGATTAAATCATTACAAAATTAAATATTGATTTAATCAATGAAATGCTCAAGTACTTCAGTTTTAACATCAATAAGATTTATAGTATAGAATATCCAATATATCAATTTATATAATCAAAATTTAAATCCAATCTATTTTTTCATGATAATCTCTATCATATTTGTTTTATGAATAAATTCATGAACAATTCTATTATAATATTCCCATTGTATAGCATTGAATCAAAAGCATACATATTTTATTCATAATATGAACATGAAAATCTAGGCATTTTATCACATGGAAGCTCAAAATTAAGTATTCAGTTCAATTGATTTCTAAATAACTAGATTGTTCTTAGAATCTAGCTTATATTATCATCCACTATTAATAAAAAAGAAAAAAAAAATTGTAAGTGAAAGTGAAATAAAAATAATATATAATGTAGTTATATTCAGATATATTCAGACATTTAATTTAATTTTAAAATTTTAATAAATATATTTAAATCCATCTTTTACAATATTCTAATTTTTATTTTCACCATGTCTTTTATTTTAATAAATATTAAAGTAACTTATATTTTTTTGCATACTTTTTTAATTTTAAAATATTGATTACTTTTAATTAGGTGTCACAAGAAATTTGCCAAAAATATCTTGACACTTGATGCTGTTATTTTGTATATGACCATACTATTACAAAAAAAAAAAAAAATGCCTATTTTTTCAAATTAGTAATAATTGCATCTAAATATTGTTTTTGAAATTTCTGTTGTCATTGTAGAGTTTTACAATTATGCTTTACATCTTAAAAGTTTATAATTGCATTGTCCTAACAAATTTTAATCAAGATTAAAGATACCGCTTTATTCAAGTTTCAAAAATTTCATTTATAATTAAAAATTTTTTTGATCTCAGATTTTTCATAAAAACTAAACATTGTCTTTAATTTTTATTTTGAATTTTAACATTTAACAATTTACAGTGAAATAATAAAATTACAACATTGAATTCTTATATTATGAACAGTGTTGTTAAAACTTTTTGTTAAACATTTGAGAATTATAATTAACATTTATTAAATTATGCTGAAATTAATAATATGATTTCAAATTTGATAGCAATCAAATAAAATTGCACAGTTATGATAAAAAGTTAAAAAGTAAGCTCTAGTCTAAAAAATTCACATTTACAAAGTAATCCACTACAAGATGAATATTAATATATACAATAAATATTTTTTCATTTTATCATGGATATAATTTGCATCATGTTTCAAAAAAATTTAATTTTAATATGTAATTTAATTTTAGAAATCAGATAATTTTCAATTTAAAACAAAAAAACTTATTAGGCAAGAAATATTTTTGGACTATCTTACAATCCAGCTTCAACTTGCATGTTTCTCACTTATTAAAAAATTTCATTGTCTTAAATTTAGCTGTATTTTATTTTTCATTACAACTTTAAGATATAGTGCCAAGTTTTAAACATTAAAAAAAATAAATAAAATATTTTCAATTCCATTAAAATATAACATAAAAGTTAAAAAATAAAACTATTATTACAGTACTTATATATAATAAATTTATTATATAAGACACTAACTTTCTTGAAAAGATAAATATTTTTCAATTTTACATTACAGGAAAATAAAAATTATACATATTGCAAGTACACAAGAAAATTTTAAATATAATTGAAAAAATATATAGAATGTATTTTAAACCTTTTTTTTTTATTGAAAATAAGTTTGGTTTTTAATTCATAAAGATAATTTTTATGACATTTAGAAAAGTATATCAAAATCATATTTAAATGTTAATATCAAATTTTAATTCAATTATGAAACTAAGCAAGAGAATGATTAACCTTATACTCAAAAGGAAATTTCCATACATAAACACAAACACAGTTTGAACTAATGGAATGAATTTGGAGGTGATTATAATTACTAAATTAAATTTATCATTTATTTTTTTGATTCATTCTATAGTCTAACACTTTAAATAGTTATGAAATCAAAAAACTTTATTTATATAACAAAACAAACAATGGTCAATAAAATTTAAACCTTGACCTTTGCAGAAGCATTACATCCATCAATTTCTTTTTCTCACAACATGTGATCAATATACAATGTTTTTTTAAATCCAAATCATCTCACTTTCAAAGCTTTTTGTAAGATTACAAAAATATTTACTTATGTGTAAATAATTTATTTGTATTTAATAAATAAAATTTTCATGCATGTTGTTTAGAACCAAATTTTTAAGTTTAATAGATTACTATTAAAGGAATACTATTAATAGACTACTATTATAGGAAATAAACATATTTGTTATGTGATTTTAATTGATGTAATTTTCTCAATCAATTTATGGTTTATGTTATAATTGAATATCAGCTTTTTTTTATAAGGAAAGATAAAAGCTACATTTATAGAAATTTAATGTATTAATCCATCCAAAAACACTGTTATTTTCAGCTTAATTTAAGCCATCCTTAACAATAATGGAAAAGAATACTTTTAACAATTAAAATGTAAAAAGTTAAAACATTACAAATCAAAAAATTTGAATTTAATTGTTATGAATTGTTAATAAATATTGTTTATAAATCACATTCAAACAAATATCAATTTACAATTCACAAAAAATAAAAAGAAACATTCAAAATACATCAGTGAATTATTTCAAATTGTAATAAATCCTATTTATCTTTTATTATACTGTATATTGTCAATTTGTTACAATATTTCCACTATATTTATATAGAACTTTTGGCAATATTTTTGATTGCAGGACTTTGATATAATCTACAATAGACAACAAACTTTCACATTGCATAATTAAAAATAATTTTATCAATGAATACAAGTTTTTTTGAACATTAAAGTTCATTAAAAAAAAACCCAATTAAAAATAAATTGTCTTTAAGAGTTTATGATTATGCTTATGAATTACAATTTCTAAAAAAGAGAAAATAAAACTCAGAAAAAATGAATTTGCTCTAGGGAGAAATTAAACATCTGAAAAAAGGAATTCAGTCCTCCCTAGAGTAAATGTCAAATTTAAGTTAAACAAACACATTTATTGATCTCTTATTAGAACTGGATTTTATTATTACTCAGTTTTTTAATACTTATTTTTCTCTAGATACTGATTTCTTTAAGAAGTTTATACTCTGAAGTTATTGATGTTATTTGAATACTTGCATATTGTAAAAAAATTATTATAATTTGATGAAACTTCAATGAGAATGTTATTTATGTCTTCATATACACTTTAAAAAATCTAAATAATTATATATATATTTACAAGTTAAACTAACACAACTTCAGCTCTAAGGTACATAAAGAGTATTCAATAAACAGCATTTTTTTCTTCTTTTAATAAAGTTTATTGATAAACGCTAATCATATATAAATATCTATTCAGTCTGTTTCTATTTTAATACATCAGATTATGTCATAATGAGAATTCAGAAATCTCTAGCTGATTGTATCATCCTTTAGAAATAAACAGTGATTCTGTAGCTATAAAAATATCTTCAATAACCATTTCTAAAGAATTTCTGATTAATTAGCTTTTAAAGCAATACAGAAAACTAATTTCTTCATAAAAAAATTTCATACATTTATTTCAACATTGCAATACATTCTTTGAAACCAAATATGCAATATCAAAGACTATTATTTCATTTCAAAGACTTAAAATACCTGAATTAATTATAATAAATGTAATTTATAACAGACTGTTTTAATGTGTGTTAATTAAAAAACTATCATTAATTAATATTACAATACTCAGTGTTTATTACACAAAGATAATGATGCAATAGATGATATTCTTATATAATTGTGATAATCTGGCTTTTTACACTTATCAAAAAGTATTCAAATTTTAAAAATTTTCATCTGAATTGAAGATTATATGTAAAGTAAAAACTTTCACATAAATGTTTAGAATACAATCTATATATTAAAAATATTTTAACTTCTGTTAGCTTTTAAATATTATCATATTGTGAATAGGCCTTAATAGAAATTTTCTAATGATAAAATTTATTATGCATAATCTAAAATAATAATAGTAAAACTATTAAAGTCAATTTTGTTATGAATAAAGATAACAATTTCAATAACAAACAAAATAGCTTCGTTAATAGAGAAATGAAACTTATTTATCATTGCTGATTCATATATTTGATTAACTACAACTGGATTTGCTATTTTATTGACTCTGGTACAATTCAAAATAACTAAAAGAACTATTCTAATTTCATTATATTAAACCAACATTATAAAAATAATAAAATGGCAGATTTCATCGATTCATTATATTGGTACAAGCAATTTTGACTCGAGCAGATGCAATTAATCAGTCAAACCCATTTTGAGTTCATAAATTTGTAGTTTTGATTAATC